ACTGATTCATCAGAAATGCTTACACCTGAAGATTAACATAATAATAATATATTGAAGCGGGAATCTTTAGAAATTTTTAATATTAATCATAAAATATTAACTCTCTGAAGAAACCTGTATTGCAAGAGTTACTTAATAAACTGTCGTGATGGTTATTTATTCGCTTTAAGTATGTTTATTTGTGGTTTATCGTGTGCCAAAATGAAAACTTTATAAAATTTACTACTTTGTGCATTTAAGAAATCAAAAGGAATTTTATAGAAATACCAATATTTTTAAGGTTATGTAATAATTTTGTTTTAAATGCAAATCATTTTCTATTTATCCCTTAACTGAAGTATTAGAGAATAAAAACATCATTGAACCTAAATTGTTATAGTTTCGAAGTTTGTTATTTAGAAACCGCTAAAATTTCAGTTTTCTTCAAACTGTCGGACACAATGGGAAGAAGATACTGAAAAAATTTTTAAGAAATTAATTTTTGTATTCAAATGAATCTGCCCATTTAACCAACATTCTATTTCAGAGAAGGCAGAATTTTTTTAAGCGGAGACACGAATGGAGAGTGGAGAGAATAATCAAATTAATGAGTGCATTCTCAAATTGGATAAACAGTTGTATTGAAATTATCTTAAGAGAAAAATTCGAAAGTTATTGTTACCTCTACTTTTTTGTGTAAATAAATTCAAAATTATTTTCCAATTATATTTTTATATTCTCACGGTACTAAATTTAAATTTTTAATATGTTTGAAAATGATATTTAAGAAAGTAAAGAAACTATAGTACATACATTAAACTGCATGCTATAGAAAGAAATTCAATATTTTTCTTATTTTTTTTTATTCTGCACCTCGTTTTTCATATTTTATGCTATACAGTGTGTTTGATTTCTCATTACAGTGTTATGTACCTCGGGATAAACCCTAAGGAGTAGGAATTCTTTTGCTTTTAGACAATATTCACAGTTCAAAAACCTTAATTTAAAGACAATCGCGACCGGTTTCGGAATTTAACCTAAAATTAATTCTTTAGTTTTTGAAACTGTAAGTATATCTTCGTTTCTGTGTCAGATAAACGAAAGAATAAATATTTTTTGAAAAGCCCATACATATACAGTATGTAAGTATAATTTTTTAATTTTTGAAATTACAAGACCCTTTTTCGAAAAATTTTGATTTTTAAAAGATCACTAATTTTTTCTTGTGTCAAAGCATTGGAGCTTTTAAATTTAGCACATCTGGCATCGATGTAACTTAAGTTTTAATTTTATGTATCGGCTACTTGTATGGTTAAATAAAAATTTACTCAGTAAAATGAACTACTCAAATTTATAGCTATTATCTTAAATGGCCTAATTAAATTTAAAACAAGAGTTTTTAATGAAAATGTTCGCAAATATACGAAACATGCGTTTGCTTAATAGTTTCCAATGTTAAAGGCCGGAAGATTCAAGTGGCTAAGGTCGCGAAGCTGAATAAAGTACGTGAATTTCAACAATCATAAAATTTTAATACAAATTAACTGGCCCATATATCAACACCCTGTATATTTTCATAAATATCAAAAATTTACATGTTCGTAAATGGAAAAATACACCAAACACGTTGCATATCGCTTTTGATTGAATTAAGGAAAATAAGGAAAATGAGGAATGAGAGATTCATCTTTTCTTTACTATTTAAATTTTTTGCTTGTATACGGGAACTTACTAAACGAATTTTTGAATGAACTCAAATTTTGTTGTTTTTGTCATGAATTTTAAAATTACAATTTTTTTTTTTCCATTTTAACACTTTTCATTGTATTTGACGTTCATATTTAGCGGCGAAACTAAATTGTTGACATCACTTTGTTTTTTGAATAAACTTATGAATTTTGAAATTCGTTTATAATTTTTTATAAAATTTATGATAATTGAGCAAAATGCATAGACTTTGATACAGCTGTATTTAGAATATATTCAATGCTCATAATGATAATGTCAACTCATAGCTGAAACGTTCTGTTTTGTATGATCTAGAAAACCAATTTTACGATTTATAAATATCAATTTTCATATTCGCTTATTACACATAAAAATGATAGCTTAGAATTATCTTAGAAGGAACCATACAATAATTGCTGTCAACTATAGCTTAAGATTAAATTCCTTTAGTCTGTTTCTTTCTTGTTTCTCTTTGGACTAATGTTGTTGCTTAGAACTTGAAAAATTCATTTTAGAAAGCAAAATTAAATTATGATTTTGAAGGAAGTGTCAAACTCAATATGTAGAAACTACATTTTTAAACGAAAATTGAATTAAATTGTTGGAGACTTCTTGAAACAATTCAAAATTTTATTCATATATGAATCTTCGACATTTATTTAGCATTTCTTCATGATAAGATTCTTATTTTCTCTTCAACTTTTTTAAATTTGAAACATTTTTATTCAATACCGGAATTTTGTAATCAAAATTTGATTAATGATATTTTGTAATTTATAATTTAAAATTTAAAGAAAATGCTTAGACACCTAGTATCTTGTATTCTAACTTTGTTGACTTGAATCAGTGGAAATGATTAACAACATTAAAAATCCATTCTTTTCGTATAATGTGCAGAATTTTCAAAATAAAAATTTTAGATGATTTCCAGATTTGTTCGATATTCCTCCACATTATTGTGAGAATTCACTTATGCTTCTTAGAAATAAAATAATTATATAATAAAGCTGTACAAATAAAACAATATTCTGCTTTATTTGATCTCATTACTAACATTATCAATATTGCAAACAATTTTTTTATTTTCTTAATCAAATTGAAATAAAGACCAAAAAAAATTTGTTTTCTTTACATTTAGATTTTGTCTTAAATATAATAGAAACCAATTATTTTGTTTTACTTGTTATACATAGAGATCATGTTTCAGATAAAGTAAGACAAGTTTGTGTATTAAAAATAAATATTTATTTTATTTTTTAATTCATAAGCTCTGTATGGTTTCGATATCAGTTTTAAGACATTGTGAAGGAGAATCTATTTAAAAGAGTTTAGATACCTTATATATTGTCTCATTTTGAATCTTCTCAATTAAATGAAATTTCCACTTTTAATATTCCAATACCAAATATTGCATAATATCGCGTTCGTTATCATTATAAGCATCACATCATCATGATTATTTTTACTTTCATTGTATATAGATGTGTTTTTGTGTATAATTAAAAATGTAAATGGGTTTGTTTATTATAATATATACACTTGCATATTTGTATTATTTGAATTTATGTATAAATTAAAATAAAATACATGTAAAAACAAATAAAGTTTAAATAAAAGAAATTGAAAGAGATCGTTACATTATGCATCTTCCCAGTTTATCCGTGTATATACAGTATGATTTTATTTGAAATAGGGGTTCAGTGACGAAGCTCATTCATTGAAGGTATGATTATTCTACAACTTTTAAATATAAAATAAGAAATATTTTATTTTGTAATTAATTTTATAGCAAAAGAATAGAACAGGTTTCAAATTTTGCTATGTAATTCAAAATTTTTAGAGGCTAGTTCGCGTAAAGAAAAAGATTTTAACTAATAAAAATTTGACTAATTTTTTTTTAACAAATCTCGTACCGGAAATCATTAGCTTTTAGAAATTTAGAAACGTTTTACATATAAAATTTCTAGTAAAGATTATTCTTAAATTCATTCGGTGATTTGATGTAAAATTTCGAATATGGTTTCAAACGCTTACTTTGTAAGAGCTGCAATTAAATAATTTTGCTATGAATATTTGGATAGAAAATTCATCTTGTGCAGTATTGTGTCCAAACATGCACTTGTGTATTTTAAAAGGTGTTTTAATAAATTCAAAGATTAAACTCTATTAATGCAATTGTTTACTATTTTAATGACTGCATAAAATTATATTGCATGTTTTATTAAGTTATATTTTATTTATTTAATAATTTTTCTGGATATCGTATACCTACCCTTATTGAGAATGAAATAGTTTGTCTCTGAATTTGTGTGACTTATTTCTATTTATTTTTATTAAATTTATAATATTTATATTTAGTTTTAAATTAAATTTAATATAAAATTTTTGAAATTATACTGGCAATTAAAATAGACATTCAATTCAAAAAAGCGAAAATTGCTGTTATAACACACGTAGTACTCTCTATTGTTAACAAAAAGCAGATCAGCACGAAATAAGATTTTTCTATTATTTTCATTTTTTTTTAATTTTTTATTTATTTTTATATTTTTTTAATAATATTTTGTTTTTCTTATATCTTTTTCATGTCACGTATCGTTGTCTGGCATTACAACCACAATTTTTTCTCTTTTGCTTTTTCAACTGTATACCAACAACATCAACATACTTTTAATAAACTTTGGCAACAAAAATATTAAAATGTACTATCTATAACGGTAAATTAATTTATATATAAATGGTAATAACCTGAATGAAATGATTTTTATCCTCACTTATATAATAATAACAATAATGTTGTAATGGCATAATCATGATGGTAACAACAATTACTATTATAACATTATAACGTCATAATGGTAACAAATATACTAAATAATAATAATCAATAATAATATGTCATTATTAAATACAACAAACAAACAAACAACCAATCAAACTGGATGAAATGAACAAACAAACATTAAATATACATTGAATATTTGAAATGAAAACGATGGTTACTGTCATGCAATTTACTTTTAAATGAATGTAAAACTTTACTATACTGAAATTAAATAATCTGGGTGAATATGATTGTGTTTGATAAAAAAAAAACACAAATGAAAAATAAAATAAAAATTAATCACTATTATCAACTCTATCATCACTATTGCCATCATTTTAATATTAATATCCCGTATCATCATTATTATTAATAACATTATTAATAAAATATTGAAATATTGAATAAATGATACTATTATGGGGAAACCTACAAAAACACAATACAAATACAATTTATATGTATATAGCCATCATCACGTCCTGAATCTGATTTTACGCTAGATCTGCCAAGAGCAGAACAATTACGTTTAAAAATGGATAAAGAAAAAAAATTTCGTCAGCGTTGCAGAATATTAACAACATTCTTAAGTTTAGTATTCTTTTTATTAACTGTTATGGTTGTTAGTCTAGTGCTTACACGTGGTAAAAGAATGTTTGGAAGCATGTTGTAAGCAACAAACAAAAAAAAAAAACTAATAAAAAAAAATAAAATTATTAGCAAAAATTTGTAGCAAGGAAAAAATAAAATTTTTTGAACGTGATTTTTTTCCAGTCGAATTTGAAAGGATACAAAAAAAAAATTTGAAAATTAAAATATAAAATAAAAAAATAATATATAAGGACTGAAAGGAACACTTATTTTGATTAGAACGATGATGTGCACGGAATATGTACAGGTAAGTATCGGTTGCATTTCTGCAACAAAAAACTAAATCTTTTCAATGGCATTGCACTGGACGAACTATTGTGACTATAAATTTTTTTTGAGGGAGGTACTTTTGGATTTTATAAATATCTTTTAATATTCATCTCAAGTCAATTTTTAAGACAAAGCATACTTCATCAAAATTGTATATAAAAAAAACTGCACATACTTAAGCTTACTCGAGATAAAAATTATTTAGTAGTCTAGAAATAGTCTACATCAAACGCTAATTCAAATTTTTAAAAAGTCTAAAAAATTCGTGCGGTTAAATGTGACGCATGATTGCAACCGGAATCTATTCATATGAATTAAATTTTCGGCAACGGCAATCAAACCCCGAAATTTTGATTCATACGAGTTGAATATGAAAGTTAGCGACGAAACAAAAATTGTACGCTTAAGTGAGTAACAAGTTAAACAAGTAGAAAATTCTTGATTAACTGCGGTTTAGTGTTGCAGTAGTATTCTAATTGAAACTAATTTTTCACTCAAATTTTTATAAAATATGTCGAACTATAAAAGATGAGTTTTCATAGATTTCACTGTAATATCGGATTAATACCTTATCAAAATCATAAAGAGAAATATTTTAAATTTCTGTATAAATAAAAAAAAATATTTTTAAGTAGATTAAAGAATTAAACTTTTATATAAATTTTTTTTTCTCATTTTCTTAGAAGCGCTCTTTATTGAATAGCAACGAAAAACAATATTGTTGCTAATAATTGTTCTATAGAATACGAAACACACACAAGTTAAGTTGCAACCAAATATGCACCAAATGGATTATAGTCTGCCGTAAAAAAGGAACTTGATTTTTAAAAATAAATTGAAATTTATATTACAAGTAGTAATCAAAATATACTTATAAGTTACTAAGGTCCTTGATAACAACAAATAATTTTGAATATACATTTGATTTTTAGCCTAATGATATTTTTTAGTGTTGGTCATATTAATACATTATTCCGAATCAGGATCTGTTGTTCAAATTTAAATTTGTATTTTGAAAATATTCTACCTTTTCTATAATGTTCTTCAAAATTCTATAAATTCTATTTTCATATGCCTGTTAACCAAATTCCACTGCCGTACAATTAAGACTGATTTTAAATAATTTATAATGGTTTTTTATTGTTATTTAATTGGGCTAATTTTGAATTAAGATCTCGATACTTCTAAGAAGTATTTTGATGAGAATTGCTTTTATAATTTGGTTAATAAATTTATAGAATTTTGCACATTAAAATTACAATTCGGAAAAAATAAAAATAAAGTACGACTATCACATTTGTTTGTTAATTTCCTCCATTTTAAAAACTTAAGGCTTCTTGATTATGCGAATTCACATATCTCAAGAGGAGTTTATAAAAACTGTCCGAAATATAATAATATCATTGGTTGAAAATTGAATTAAGTTCTACATTTTGAAAGCAAAAAGGAACTTTTATATCGCATTCTGCAAGAAAATAAAAAAAAAGTGTTATATAAAATGATTTATAAAAAATTTAATAAATTTAATTGAAAATATGCTTTGTTCAAGATTGATTGTCAATAATAATAGCAGAATACGAAAAAAAATTTGCTATTTTTTTCAAAAATTCATTATAACACTTCATATTCCTTTTTGTTATAATGAAACTATAAATAAAAGGATTTTTATAATTGCCTAGTTTTATAACAATAATTATTATTAATTTTGACAAAAAAAATATTAATAAACCCAATAAGGACAATTCACAATAATTTTAATAAATTAACAAAGTAAGTTTTTAAAATTATTAAATAATTAAAAATATTATTAAAATATTAAAAATACTTGGAATTGATACTTGATGTACATATGTGCATATCTATGGAATATGCACAGTATGATTATGAATTTACACAATATTTTGTATGTATAATGAAAAGATATTATTTGTATAACGCAATTATTGCGTTTCAAAGGCGAAATAACAGTGTCCACTACCAAAAGTTCCAAGATTTTCAATATTGTATTTATTTCAATAATTATTGAAAAGTAGTTATGCGAATATTCAAAGCTGTGTTATGATTAAGTTTCTATATACAAAAATTGTGGTATACAAAGATCGTCCAGTTTTGTATATGCTATGCATATATTCATAAGAGCGTGAGCAATTTGAATCCAATTTAGAATAATTCAAAAATTTTTTTATTAAATTTGTTTTCTGGAATTTATGCATAATTTGCTGTTGCTGAATTGCAGTGTCAAATATATTTTTGGGCCTGTATATTATAAACTGTTCGGTAAATTTTTTAAAGATTATTTTAAAATAATATTGTTCATAAAAGGCGGTTTCTGTATAAAATTTTTAGCATTTCTAGAGATCAAATACTGTACATATTATAAGTAACCCCATAAAAATTCAATCTTTCTAATAAAGCTTAAGAACTCAAATTCAATGTATGCCAAGAAATCAAAAATTATCATTCGTAATTAAATTATTATTATTAGCATGGCTTCAATTCGCATTTTAAGCTTTAAACTTATATTATCAAAAATGAAAAATATGCGTATACGACATTCGAATGCTAAGGTGGCAATATCAACGTCTTTCACGTTACTACATAAATAGAAAATATATGTAAGTGCAAAATTTTAACTTCTTATTACTTCCAATATTTGTTATTTAATTTTGTCAAATTTGTTGACATTTTGTGTCAATCAAGTCAGTCGCTGAATTTTGTAAGTCAAAGGGTAGTCTTCTGCGATTTAGGAAAGCTTTCATTTTGCCATTAACATAACTGGAATTTTATTAATATGCCTTATGAATATTTAAAAAAAAATATATAACGAATGTCAATATGGTCTTAATTTGGACACCTTGTTCTTAAAAACCTTTAATACATGTAAAATCAGAATTATGAAATAAAAAAAAGTATACAATAAAAATATTTTATGTAGTATATCAAAAAAACAAAAACAAAAAAAATTATAAATAATTTGAAACAGTATTCTTTAGTAAATTTTAAAATTGTAAAATTAAATTTAATAATAATAACTAAAAAAGAGAAAAAAAAATTAAAATTTAATTAATTTTCACTTTAATTTTTTTTTTCCAAATAATTTTTTTTTCTTATTATTTTTGTTTTTTATAATGTGATGTTAGTTCTAAGTCAAAATGTTATGTGAATAATTTTTGTTTTTTTCTTCGTTTTTTTTTTTTTTATTTTTTTAATCATTAATAAAATTATGTGTATGTAGTAGAGAGAGAAAAAAAATTTTGAAAACAATGTATGGACTGTATAAAATACAAAGGATAATAAGGATAATAAAAATGTAAAAACTATTTTTTAGAATTAAAAAGCATAATTGTGTCTAATTAGAAAATAAAAATACTGTTTTTATGTACATAATATTTTGTTTATATAAAAAAATAACTATTATTGATTTTAAGAATTTTAACAAAAAATAATTATAGAAAAAAAATAATAATCAAAAAAGTAAAATAATCTTATATGAAATTTGTATATACTTATATAAAAAAACAAACACTTATATTTGAATCCTTAAAATTTTTATTGTAACTATGTAAAAATATTCACTGTTATAAATTTTTTATAATAAAACCTATATGTATATAGAGTATATGTTAACAATAAAATAATATTATAAAATATAATTTGAAAAAATACCCAATTCAATCAATACCCAATTGTTTCATTTGTTCTAGGAAAGCTTGCATTTCTCTCATATAGGAAAATTTAGGGCCTGATCGTCTATATCGCTTTTTTCGACTGGGCAAGTGAGAAGAAAGTGGGTAACTTTCTGAATAATGTAATTTATGAATGAGATACGAAATCCCTTTTTTTTTTCTAAAATATATACAAAATTTATTAAATTTATTTTTGAAAGTGGTCTCACTTTAGTCGATAATTTGAGAAAAAATATCCATTAGAAAAACGGAAAATTCTGATTTCAATGAGTAAATAATAAAGTGAGAAAAAAAAAGCAAGACACAACATCAGTTTGTGAGGCTATTCTATTGTTTTCTAATCTTAAATTTAGATTTTTAGCATGTGTTTTTCAAAACGATAAAGAAAATTTTGAATTTTCGCTAACTTTAAATTGCAATAACAAATTAATCATTAATATTATTATGACAATGTGAATTTTTAAAAAATAAACTAAATGGTACTGGTAGAATATAACAGCAAGACTATACCAAATTAAATTAATGACTTTGAAGTTGCAAAAATATAGTGTTCAAACACGATTCAGTGGTAGCTTACATTAAGTATAATATAGTATAATATTTTTTTTTTAATTCCAGTTGGCATTTAAAATTCTAGCTGAAATTTTAAAAATCTATAAAATTGCCACTCCAATTCTGTAAAGTAAAAAAAAATTTTATTATTATTTGTGATGTCAAATTTAAATTTTTCTAAATTAAATTGATTTTTTTCTGGTTTTATAAGTTTCTTCAAACGATTTTAGATACAAATGCAAAGTTTTGTAATACAAAATATAAGTTTATCTGCAAAGACTGTCCACGATTTTTCGAAACTTCTTCACAATAACGATATTATACTATATAAATACGATTACCAGAAACTAGAATTATCTTCTACTATCATTCAATTTTCATTATGGTTTTTGCATTTTCTCTTAAATTATTGACTGAACATTTCAGCTTCAAAAACAAAGTGAATACATTATACAAATATAATTATGATAGTTACCCACTTTCTTTTTACTTGAAGAGCAAACCAACGAGATACAAGCTCAGAACCTTAATGTAAGAATATCTTAATCTCGAACGCTGATCTCACTGCTACTTTAATTTTTTATTAAAAATTTCACAAAATATTAATCATTATTTTTTGAGATTGCAATTTGGCTAGTTTTTTATTGAACCAATTATTTTAAAAAGGACAAGTAGAAATTGAAAAATGCTTTTCTCTTATAGAAGTTTCTTTTTTAAATATGCCATAAAATTAAAAATATATTGAGAATAGTTAGAAAGTTTTAGAACTATGTAAATAAATTTTTCGAAATTGAAAATATTCTATGTAATATCTTATAGTAAGAAAGTTAAAGATTGTAACCTACTCAAAATTTGATATAAATATGTAAACATAGGTATAAATATGTAAACATACAACAATAGCATCCGAAGGTATTTACTTAACCCATTGAAGTTAATTGCAGCATTCATGCCATTTGAAATGTTCTCTAATTGCAAATTATAGAAGTTCTGTCTCATATAGAATTTTTAACTGAATGTCAATATGTCAATTTGCTAAGAGAATTACCTTTGTAATATTAACGTTCATTAATTTTAATAATTTTCTTTACGAAATATTGCATAAATTTAGGATGACAAATGAGTTTGAAATGGTTTATGCCTACATTGTTAATACATATTATAAAAAATCAGTAAAATTTCGAAAATAAAACAAAAAAAAAATTAGAAACAATGAAATTGAAACAAATTGGTTTCGAATTACCATGGATTATGTTTTCTTTCCAATTTGTCCCAATATAATTAAGATTGTTTTGTGTACATTATTTTGTATATTCATTTTTGACATTTGCAGTACGATCAGCTGAGTCAATTTAGAAGGTTTACTATACATATTGTACACACTTTGTTTTTTACATAAATATTGTGTTTTTGTACATGCACATCACATACATATTTACATGTTTTGTTGTTAGTTTTACGATCCATGTGCCCTTACTCCATTGTATGTGTTTTTATATTTTTATAAAAAAAATTATTGATTAAATAAAAGATGCTCTGAATTTAGTTTATAACTCATGTTCTTACATCTTTTTACTAACTCCACTGATATAGTTTGGAATACATACATACATACAATTGGAATAATACATACATATATTTATTAAATAAAAACTTAATTAAAGTTTACAATATTTTATAAAGAGGAGGGTAAGTATACTTTAATAAAAACATGTTTGAACTTATAGGAAATGAAAAGTTTTGAGAAGCATTGAATAAATTAATTCGAAACATGTATTTATTTATGTACATACACACTTTTGTTTGCATTTACATATGTATGTACTATGAGTGTTAAAAACATAACTACTCAATAAAAATTTTCCTGCTTGTATGTTAATTTTTTGTGTTCATTGTTCGATTTACAAACTAATTTGCGAAGTTTTAAAACTTTCGCGCCAAAAAAAAAACTGCTCACCTTCAAAATGGTTCTGCTCACCTTCAAATGACTCAAATGGATACCTAATTTAAATATGGGAAATCAAATAACTTTAGCACTTTCATAAGTATTCCAGATAAAATCTGGAAATTGAAGAAAGTAGAGTGGAAAAGGAATAACAAATATTGAAAATTAAGCAGTTACCGAACACAAGTTGTGTGAAAATTGTAATTCTTCTTTACACGTTATTGTAAAGATGGAAATTTTTGTCAAAGTAAGAGCTAAATTTATGGCTGCATTTTTCAAATTTACTTTATATTTAAGTTCTTCGGTAGAATTATTGAAATAGGTCTGCTCGACCTCCGGTTTCTTACTAAAATACAGAATCTTAAGTGTATTCTTTATTACGAAATATAATTGATCAATCAGAGAAATGTAATCAATCAATATAATTGATCACATTTCTCTCATAGATCATCAAGTTTTGTTTGATCAGAATTAAGTTATTTCATAGCAATTTTAGTATAATTAATCACAAATCACACATTTTTAATCATAATCAAAAGAAAAAATTAGTTTGAATTAAGGGTTTGGGCAAATACCACTATACATTTTGATGCAAGCGGTATGAAAATTGAACCGCTTTTAAATTTTTATTTCCAGTTTATAGAAACAAAAATCAAAAAACCCTAAAACTGAGCTGAATGTTTTTAATTGCAAAAAGAATTTTCCACAGAATCAAGCAAAGTCTCTGAAGTGCAGTGATAAATTTAAAATTTATTTTTAAAGTTCTCTACTCAGTATTCCGAATTCATATAAAATATCGATTTTTCTTCTGTTTGCGTTTTCATAATTTATTTTGTATTAAAAATTGCGGTTCTATTTTCGATTCCATTATTTTCCATGCAGTTTTTAAAACTTAAAACAAATTCTTTTTTTTGCTAACAATAATGGATGCAAACAAAAAGGAAGTGTTTAAATTACTTTTTTTTTCCGAAATTAAAAGGGATTTTTAATTTAAAGTTAAAAAAAACATTTATGAATAAAGGGAAAAATTTTTAAATCACAAAAGTTTTCATAACGCTACTTGATTTATAAAATTCTCTTTTTTTTCTTTTTTGTAAAATTTTGAAAGATAAGCGGAAAATTTAATTATTTTAAATTTTAAAATATTTTTTAATGCAAAAGAATAAAAAATATTTTGCAATTAAATGAAATTTGTGGTTGTTGGATTCTGCGTAAAATTGTGTAGAAAAATATTATGATTTTAAAATTTTAGATACCTACTAGTTCTTCTCTTAAAATATTTTCACTTATTTTGACCTTAAATTTTATTTTTGAGAACATGAAGTAAATTTTACATTTTATTTTGGATAAGATAACCATGGAAAGAAAAATTCGTAGAAACAACATTTTAATTACAACTTCTTAATGAAAAGTACCGTACCTTTGACTGTTACTTTGAATTCCTTTTATTGCAACTGTTATAAAAATTGAAACTGTTACCTTGATAGTTAAATAACAGATAAACTCGGAAAAGAGTTTGTCGGAGCAGACTTAGATTATGTCTAAAATATTTAAAACAAAATGAGACAGAATTACCCGAACTTTAACTGAAAATTATAAAAGTGAAAAAATGCATTTTTGGTCCATATCCATTTTTTTACTTCGGAATGATGCAGTTTGTATGACGTGGACCAAAATGTTTGTAAATATAGTGTTTATGAGCACCGTTTAAAAAAAAATGCATTTAAATTTACTAAAAATTACGAATATGGATCAAAGTTTCAATTCTATAATTCAGTAACCAAAAGAGGTAGGAGAAAACGAGTTACATATTATGAAAGAACGTCTCACAAAAACTTACGCAGATTAACTTTAAGAATTCCTAAATGGCGTATGGATCACATCAGCATTGAAGCAACATAATTTCATAGACTATTGCTATTATATCATAATATAACTCGTTTATTTTAATTTTTTGTGATCCAGCTGAAAAATAAAATTTGGTGAATTTTTGAACAATTTACTTTTTAACTCATTGAGTCCGTCAATTAAAAACCAAATATAGAAATGCCAAGCATTCTTTCCAAATAATTTTCGCTTTAAATTTTAATTTTTTGTCCGCAAATTGAATGACTTTCTGCAATTAATTTGCCTGTTATTTTACTGAATAAATAACATTCCTTAACATTGAGCTTCTTGAGACATTTTACCTATTTTATAATAGTCTTAATATTTATTTTGTGAAATATTTATTTGGCGAAAATTACCACCATTTAAATATATTTTTGTTAGGACTTATTCCATTTTTTCCTTTTACTACTGACAGTTAGTTTTCTTACTAACAGTTATTGTACAGTATTAAACCGGCAACCAAATATTAGCGAGTTGCATTGTATACTTTATATTTTATCATTTTATAATTAAAACATTTGACAAATAATTTTCAACAAATTCAGTACAGAGCGTAACTAAAAGAATCCATGAATAAATTTCTGGAAGGACCTTGCCACCCTTAAAAAGTGTTCAACACGAAAAATTTTAAAAGCAAAAGTTTTTTAGTGGTATAATATAGACTCTGACGTCATAAAATTTAAATCGATTTTTTCAAACAAAATTTTAACAAAAGAATTCAGTCTTGCTGCAAAACAAATTGTTCGTCAAATTTTCATATTCATTTTTGTTTTAAATTCTAGTAATTAAAGTTCTCGCAAAGAGAGAAGTTTGCATTTGTTAAGCCACTTTATATTCAGCGTAATCACACATACATTAAAGGTAACCAATACAGTCTTATATTCAAAATTGTTGATGCTTATTAAAGTTATCAGTTTATTTAAATTATTTCTAATCTCATGTATTGAAATGCTTATCAGCAGAGATAACCTTAAACATAATTATATTGGTAACCTGCATGGAACATCTTTAGTTGGATTTTGATACTTAATCAAATAGAAGAGTCAATAATCAACAAGCAGAGAACCAAAACATTTCTACAAAAACATAAATAAAAAAAATTATTACAAAATTGATTTTAAAAGTGCATTAATTGAATTTGTATAGGATAAAAATGACTTCAAGTATTGGGAATCCATTGAAAAAAGCAATGCGGAAAGCTGTCAGTAAAAAAACAAGTCAATTATCATTGGAGGCAATTAAAAAGCAATCAGAGGAAATTCGTAATAAGGTGAGTTTTCATGTTAAAAGTTCTCTTATGTAAATCTTTTCTAAGAGTCTTAATTTTTCTAAATTATGCAAAAAGTCCAAAATCTTTCGTGAATAATCTAATTTCGATACATGAATGTTGTAATTAAGGTATATAAATGGTTCTTTTGGCAATAGCCCTGTGGTGTTTTTCAAAATAAAATACAGCTGTTTAAAAAATATTTTGATGATGGCAAATCATCTGTAATGTGCTATAAATATTTCTCAATTCTACGAAAAATATTTTGAATTATTACAAAATTATTACAAAATTACACAAAATTATTGTAGTCCATTCAGAGTTCCATTCAGAGTCTAAATAAGTTTTTTTCAAAAACGACTCAAATATATAGTTAATTATTTTGTTAATTAAAAATATTAAAAAAATTATGTGAATTAAAAAAATTAAGGGTTAGGAAATACGATTATGTGAAAATTAGCTATAAATTACGGTTTTCGTGATTTCGGATTTATAAAGTTTTGATAAAATTTTTCTCAGTGCAATTCTACTCTTCTCTAACTTTTCCAATATAGTAGCACTTTAAATTTCATTTTTACTCAAAATTTTCTAAATTTTCTGCTTTTCATTGTAAGCACTTCTGATCGGATTAAAATCTTTAGATTACATAAATTTGTAATAATTTTATAATTTTGTCTATACGTACATTATATTGAGAATTAATCATACTAATGCTTTAAGTAAATCTCTGAAAGGATATGACACTTTAACTTCCGTTTTTATAATTTTTTTATAGTTTTTATCGTAAATTACATAAAAAAAATTTAGAATATGAAAAAACTATGGAGAAGAAAAATATTTTTATAAAATCACCTTTTTGTTTTTGTTTTTACTCAATTTATCTCTTTCAATATAGAAAGGAGTACACAAAAAAAAAAACAATATTAAGTGAAGTTGTACATAGCACTATTAGGATCTTACTTTCAAATAAAATGAATTGCTAAAAATAATTTATAAAAAAAAAAATTTATTGCGTGCGATGAAATGCCATAAATTAAGGAGTTGTTTTTAGCAAAGCATTTCAATCTACTCTCGATTATGTCGGTTTTATGCGCCGGCCTACGTAAACGAAAAATTAAGGAGAGATATTTTAAATGATATGTCTGTTGATATTTGTAGTGAAAACACAGTTCATGAAGAAACTGAATCTTCGACACTTGAAGCTTATGTGGAACAGCTCTTGCTTTTCTAGTTTAAGAAAATGATTAATTTTATTCCCTGTTATTCTTCTTAACTTTATTTCATTAACAAGAACGTGAACATGATAAAAATCATTTGCTATCTCGAATACAGCACCAATGTTATGAACATAAATTGCTCAAAATGAGAAAAAAAAACTTATTTAAATTACATTTTATCTTTTCTTTTTTCTCTTTTTTTTCTTGTAGATTATTTCATCTGAATTATTTAAAAAATCAGAACGGATATGTGTGTATTTGAGTACCCCAACTGAGGTTGATACAATTGGTATTCTTGAAGAGATGTTCAAATTTGGCAAAAAGGTTAGTACATAATAAAAAAAGTATTTTTAAATCCCTGTGTGTGTTCTGGTTTTTCTTCTTCTTCTCTTAAATATTTTTCTTAATTTGTTAAATTAAAGTGAGTGCTTTTTATTGAATAAATTTGACATTCAGTCAAAACCATATGAAAAGGATGAGATATGACAAAAAATTAAGATCCTTAAAAGGAAAAAAAATTATTATATTTTTTTCTTATTTGGGTCTTTAGTTTTGTTCTTTAGAATTAATAGACAACAATTGTTAATGATTTGAGGAAGGAAGAGTAAAAAGTATTTTTAAAGCTTTTAAAAGAGAAATTCGAGAGACAAATAAAAATAAAAAAAGGAAAATTGTCGAGAAATTAAAATTTATTTTTTTTTATAAAATTGGGCACCAACACTTGCAGGTATTAATTTTCGTCTTCTTGTTAAAAGGAGAATGGGAAGATCAAATAATGCAAATTTTGTAAATTTGTTTTATTACATTAATTTTTTATCAGATTAATTTTATTTTTAAAAATTTTCAAGATATTTTTTTTTATTTAAAAATTATTTAAAATTTAATTCGAATATCATCAGATACTTTAAAATTTTCAAAGATTTAGATGCCCAACTTTAAAATTTAGAAATTATCAATAAGAATAGGTCTATTTTAAGGGAAATGGAAATAATTTGAGATATGGTGGGAAATTCGGATTATGATAGAAATGTTTTTTTTTTGTTGTTAGGAGGAAATCACCGAAATGAGACATTCAATGCTGCAACACCCGGGGAACGCAGGGTTGAAATACTGTGCCATTCGAAACCACTAAAATCTCCTAACAGATCTTGCAAATTAAAACTAGCCCTAATGAGTTGTCGTTAATACAAAATTGGTGGTCAAAAGGTTTTGTAGACATGTATGATTCACCAATATTGCAATAGAAATACTTGATGAATAATAAATCTTAATCTAACACAGTTCAAACGGCTTCGTCTGTTTAAATCGTCTTTGAAGGGTTTGGAGACCCCTATAAATATCTGTATTACGAACACACCAAGGAGCGTCGACAATATCGCATAATACCCTATTTTGAAAGGCTTGAATAGTTTTAATATCGGCTTGTTTGGCACAGCCCCATATCTGAATACCGTATGTCCAGGCTGGCTTTAATATTTGATTATAGATCAAAATTTTGTTATACTTTGAAAGGAAGGATTTTCTGCCAATTAGCCAATTCAACTTAGTGTATTTGATGTCCAATTCGTTCTTCTTTATTTTCACGTGCTCCTTTCATATCAGCTTTGCGTCTAGTGTGATTCACAAATATTTTGCAGAATTCGTGTGTGGTATAATAATATTATTAAGTGTAATTGGCAAAGGTTACTCAATTTTTATATAATTGAAATTTACGTGTGAAGGCTTAGGTTCATTCAATTTGATCTTCCAGTCTTTACACCATTGGGAAATTTTGTTATCTCTTCGTTGCTTATCTCAGAAGATGGTTAGGATGTTGCGCGTAGCCAACTGTAATTTTGTTTGTTTTGATTTTGCTGCTAGTGGAGGTGCTCTTAAGTCTGTGCTGTTTAGTAATAGTTACTATAATACTATAGTTTGTCTTGTAATATATCTCTTTTTGGTTTTTTTCGTAGATATTAAACTAACTAAGGAAGGAATGCTTAGACTTAGACAACCCTTCCGACAATAAAGCTAATTTTACGGAATTTTTTTCCTATTTTAATTTAAAAATATTTTTATCTTTTCTTTTGAGCAAAGTGAAATATTCTTAGAAATTCTCTATGCGTATATTCGCTTTTGTGCTTAACAATCTTGGTCGAATTGTTGGCTATTAAATATTAAGTATCAACTAGTTTGTTAGCGTGATATTTCATATTGAAATTTTTAAAAGTTCTGTGTCTATGAATCAAGCTCAGTTTATTAGTCGCCGAAAATTTGAAAATGATTTTGATAACAAGTTGTTTTGCTTACAATTCTTTAAATGCATTAATCATCAGTTTTTAACTTTTTTGGAAAGCTCCCATCATTTTATTAGCAAACTTTATTAGTCTTTTGATATTTAGTACAACAGAACTATTACAAGTGAACCAGACAACAACATTATATAATTAACTTCTTATAATAGATTCTTTTTTGTAAATTTGTGTGGCATAAGAAACTCGGAAATGTGAAATTCAAATTAACAGAGAATTTCGATTAATTTTGTAATTATTGCCAGAAACTCTAACAAATAATAAATAGTTTAATTTTACGAATTTTTTTATATTTTAATTAGATTTAAAAAAATCTATTAAAAAATTCAAGTCCCCAAGCGTTTGTGCATGTGTAATAAAGCGTTTAATTTTGTAAAATAGATTTCTTAATTGTGAGCAATAATTACGATTTTTTCCTTATGCCCATATTCAGGAAAAGAATTGTTATTTAAAATTAATATAAAAACCTTTATAAAAAACATTAAAACCTTCATTGTTTTTATAATGTTATACACTTACATAAGTTTTCTGTAAGCCCAAATATAATTTGGAACATTTTTTAATCTTTTCTGTATCCCTTCTTATACGAAATTTTTAAATCGATTCATAAGAACGGTCATGGCCATTTAAAATAATATTAAAATGTTAAAAAAGTTCAATTCCGAAATGAGAATTTAAATAATAAATGCTATAATCAGTTTTTCAAGGACCTTATTACAATGAAATTTCCGTTTAATATTTTTTAGTGTAGTATAGACTACACTTATTTATTTATCATGTGTGTATGCAAAAAAAAAACTTAATTCAGTGTAAAACCATAATTCTCAAACCAATTTAAACAACAAAAAAAAACATAAAAATAAAATTTAAATGATAGCCTTTAATATTAATTTACTAAATCACGGCAAATCATTTTTAATGCATCAAAATAAAATTTTAATTCAAGAATACTTGAATAAATTGACAGTTATTATATACATACATTCTTTATGTTTTGCTCTCATTAATCTCTATACTCTTGAGTCCTGACCTACGCAGCAGCTTAACTTTGATTTTCTTTTTTCACTTTGTTTTTGTTTGCTTGAATTTTTATGTATTTACTTACAGCTTTTTTATGGCTTTTCAAACATAATCCCTTGGTAATAAAAATTCAACATGAAATTCAGGAAAAATACACACCTATATACCAACATATCCTTATTTAATAACCGGGATTAAATTTTATTATCGACTGCATTGTATCCAAAAAAGGAGGTTTTGTGATGTTACCAAATTTCACATGTCAAATATTCGCCGGAAAAGAGCATTTTCAAGGTAGGGAAGCCGAAATAAATTATTTTTGTCTGTGTGAATTCGCGTAAATATTTCAATTTTGACTGAAGCGATTTATACAAATTTGTAGCTGAGTTTAGTTTGGTTATTTCACGGATTAACCAATTTTTGGGGTAGATCACATCTTAGAAATCGGACTTTTGCTGTAATCCAATTTTACATTTCTTATCATTTTTAGAAAATATTTAAGATATTAAATTAAAATTTTATATATAAATTTCATCTGATAATTTGATAAACCATCTAGCTTTTCGAATAAATTTGGTGCCGGCAACTGAATTTTTACCATTGTTCGAAATTACATTTTTGTGCATATACAAAGAAATAATCAACCAATTTCTTTGAAATTTAATATTTCATTTTAGGATGTAAAAAAACAATGAATTAGTAAATTGTTCCGTAAGATCAGGGAATTTTTGTGGACGGATCTTTTCCGAGAATTTTAACTAATGGTCGATTTTAATTAACGGATTTTTTTGCAATTTATTATTTACTATCGGATAACTGAGGAAATTTCAATGAATCCGGATAGTTTACAAATTATGCTAACTAAAAGCTTGTTAGTGTACTTGAAAAATGAAACACATTGCTATAACCATCTGTAGCACTTTCACCAAACCGGAAAGTACGCTTTCCGGTTGATCATTAGCTGATCTTATCAAATTTTTTTTTTTATATCTTCGTATGTTATGCTCAAAGGCGAAGGGAGCTGCGCCGAAAGATGTGGGAGTATTTTTTCCAATATAAATAATATGAATGGGGCCAGTAATTCTCTTAAGTATCCTATTCCCTCTTCCTGATAGCATTCGTTTCTTCTAATAACAACACTGTAGTAATAAAAGAAATGAAAATTTTTATACGTAAGTGTACAATGTTTCAGTTTCTGCGGCATTTGGGTGCGTGCAAAGAGCCCCAAAGAGTGATATTGGTTAATTTTTAATTGTGTACATAGATACTGTAGCGTTAAATATTTTGTACGAAAATTATTACTGAAAATTTGCTATATTTTCTAGCACTTTCTTTTATTTGTTTTTATGCATTGTGCAAAAAAAATGTCTAAGAAGAATTTTTACATATGAGTATACTAACGTTTGTCGTAATAATATATGAGCGATACATGAGGGAGCAAATATATAGAAAATAGGAGATGTGTGTATGTCTTATATTTGTAGATATTTCCAAAGGTTATTTTGGTATTTCACTCTTGTACTTGGTATGTAATTTACAAGATTATTTTGTGTTATTTTATTTAGTACCATGTAAAGATATTTTTAACGTTAGAGTGTATTGGAGGCTATGTACCTATACCTATGTAGAAGTTTCTTAAATTAATAACTTATGGATGATATTTTGTGTGTATAGCATAAGATGTAATAAGAAAATTGAATTCATAATTTTATTTTATGACCATTTTCACTTTCGATATTTTTCCTTTTTTATTACTTTCATTCATACAATATGTATGTATAGGTTTTTGTTCCAGCATATCATGGAAAATCAATGGAAATGTTACTTATTAAGGACATGAATGACTATGAATCTCTTTCAATAACAAAATGGAATATAAAACAACCTAATTATAAGGATAATCGGGAAAATGCCTTAGCAACAGGTTAGATAAATTTTTTCCATTTATATTGTTATTTCATATACACATACAAATAAGTAAAATGGAATGTAGGAATAAATTTTTAGACTAAGTATAATTATTTTTCTATATGATCCACAATATTATTTGGTTTTGTGTTGCATGTTTAAATAGGTCCGTGTTTCTATATAAGAAAATAATTGAGTTTTCATACTACTTTTCTTAGAAAGTTGAACAAACCTAATATGAGTTTTAAATTAAGTTTTACGATATACAAAGTAAATTTTTAAGTGATTTTTGCTGAATTTTGTAAATTTGCAAATTAATACAATTTCGAAGCTTGTGGATGTTTTATAAAACAACTTCACAAATATGAAGTTTTTCTTTACTAATTTAATTAAAGAGAAAAAAAATTTTTCTTGATTATATTATTGTACTTAACAAGATTCCGAATGACTTTTTGTGATTTGTAATCATTTTTTATAATATAGTCAATGAAAGAGGAAATTGTTTATTTATTATATTTACCTTGAATCATCAAATAAATATTAAGGATTGTAAGGATTTAAGAATGAAAAGGCAATTAAAAGAATTGTTATATGTGTTGCAGGTACCATATATTTTGTATAAGCAATTCATCTTAGTCCAATTCAATCGGATTATGTTATGTTTACATAAAAGATTTCTAATGAAAGTTTTTATATAAAATAGAAATTGGATTTATTTCATAAATAATTATGGATAAATTTGGTGTGTGCTACACGTTAATTCAAAAATATTAATTGAAAAATTAAGTTCGAACTTCACACATTCTACATCATAACTAACGATCTATAGTCACACTTATTTTCGTAAAACAATTTACTCATACTGGGGTCTACTAGATTTTTTTTTTTATTTTAATAATTTTTATCTTCAAAAATACAAACTAGAAAACATAAGAAATTAATTTTTTGAAATTCTATTAAATGAAATTCATTAAATGAAATCAATTAGAACAAATACGTGTTCTGTGTAAATTTTAAGTAGCCGAAGAGCATAATTTGTACGAGAATGCACAATTTGTACATTACTCACACTGGGCATTTTTTGTCCCAACTATTTGTTCAACTATTTGTCGTCGGCTAACAATAAAAAAGAAAATTTATATATATTTCTCGAATACACTTGCTTTACACTCTCGAATACACAATAAAATAAATTCTATATGGAGTTAAAATAAATCCAGAGTTAAAATAATGTGGCAGGTACAAAAATTTCAATTGCAATCAGTTTCTCCATTAGATTCTCTTGAAAATAAATCACCTATTTGAAAAGAGAAAAGGAATTTAGACGAACTAATTACTTTACTAGTAACATTTACGATTAAATAGTTAATCGTTATTATTTCGTTCAGGCGGTGCTCTTGATTGTTTAGTATACAAGTACTTTTTTGAAAATTTTTAAATAAAATAATTTATAATTTGTATTCTCTCCTTTCTAGTGTTGTTATATCTCTTCAACTACTTACAGGATACAGTTCCAAATACATCACTGTTTGTGTTTATTCCCTTCATTCAAATCGCCCCTGAGAATATTTTAAGTTTATTTTATATTTTATGTTTAAAACACTTTTAAAACAAAGCAATAACTTTACCTGTCAGCGTACAAAATTTAGAACACTCAAAGTGAACTTTTTTTTTTACTTAAATTGTTATGTTTTACTTGGAATCCCCGCATTCCTTTCAAAATGACAAAACTACAATTTATCTTAAAATAGAACTCGTGTATAGGCATTGATTCCTTAACAAAAAATCTTTAAGTCAATAAGAATTATGAGATTTATAGGAAGAAATATTATAAAAAATATTCTGATCACCGTTAAATCAATATTTTAAAATATTTGATTTTATTCAAAAATCAGCTCATTAAAATAAAATTCAAGGTCTTATGTGATTTGATACCATTTCTGTGATACTTGAGGTGTCGGTTTCGAATCTATTACAAAAAAAAAATATTTACAAAAAGAACAAAATTTTTAAAGAAATTTTCCTATTTCATACAGAAACTCTCTTTAAAATCAAAAAAGAAATGTCATTGTATGTCATCACTTGTGTTTGTATAAATTTTCAAATAACAAAAGTAATTCTATTAACTGCACGTCATACCAAATAATTGTCTGTGCCATCATTATCTACACAAAAGTATTATTATCAGTGGACCTTATATAATTTTATTGCAACACCAAAACCAAAAAATATAAAAACAGAAAAAAATTTAGTTCTTTCAGTTCATAAATTACATTTTCATTTCTCTCTCGGAAAAATTAATGACAATCATTCATCTTTTACTCAAATTATAATTTTTCATAATTTTTTATTTTGTTTGTTTTCTTCTTTTAGGTTTAGATTTATTTTTAATGCCTGGTGTAGGATTTTCAATAGAAGGTGGACGTCTCGGTCATGGAATGGGCTATTATGATAAATATTTAAAGAGATACTTTGAAAAATATCCTGAAAATTTATTAATGAAAAATCTTAAAGATTTAAATAGTAAAAATCTTGAATTAAATAATAAAACGATATTAATTGGCCTAGCATTTAAAGAACAAATTTTAGAAGAAAATGAAATTCCATTAGAAGAACATGATTTCCGTTTAAATTATATTTGTACTGTGTAGACGAAAAGTAAATAAAAATTAAAGTATATAAATATATTAAAGTACCTAGAAGGACTAACAAGGAAATTATTTTTATATACTTATATTATTTTGTCCTTCTTTCTTTTATTCTTATTATCAACTTTTTTTTTATTATTATTGTTATTATTATTATTATGTGTTTTAAGGATTTTTTGTGCTTGGTTATGTACCTATGGTTACTCGTAATGTTTAGGATATTGGGTAAATAAGGATAAATGGATAAATGAGATTGTGAATCTTGAGTAATAAAGAGAAGAAAAATTTAGGTTATTCATAAAAAAAAAAAAATAGAAATGAGCGGGAGAGCAAAGCCTAACAAAAAATAATAAATGAAATATTTTTTGTTTCTTTTACTCAAAATCAGAAAAGCAAAAATAAAAATAAAATAAATATAACAATTCTCAAGCCGCAAATTTATTTAAAGAGACAAATTAAATTTTATTCTCTTTTGCTTTTAGTGTTGCCGAAGGGATTATTTTTTTTACAAAAAATGAGAGAGAGAGAATGAGAAAATGAATTAGGATCAGACAATTTTTCATTTAATTTCGTTTTTTTTTTTTTTCCAATAATTTGTTTTTCTTTAATTTTTATCTAAATAAAATCACATTTATTCAGCAAATGATGATTTTTATAGTTTAATAATTTTATTTAAGATATTTTAATATACGTAGATTAAGAGCGGACATTTTTATATAGAAGACCGACTTTATTGTAAAGAGTAAAATGTAGCAAACACCATAAGAATTTGGTATATTGTTTCATTGGTTTGTTAACGTGGCAGATGCAGTAGGTCCACCGCAACTCAATTAGAATAAACGTGTTTTATTAACGCTACCCCGTTATCACCACGCCGTCAATGAGTGTATAATTATAGGTGGCCGGTTCTCTTGAGGAATCTATCTAAATCTTCGATGTTAATTTTCGATATCATATAAGCTCCGCCACTTATCTTGAATAATTAGGTATAGAGTAAAAGCAAATTTGTTTATTTAACTTTAATCAATGTTTGATTGAAAAATTTCACTTCAATGAATATTATGTCAGACGTTCTCCGAATATTTTGTAATGTTTCATATATATTGTATCAATCATATGTATATAATTTCCGTAAATATTACTTAGTCAATTTTATTTATGGAATTTCTAATTCATTAATAAATTTTCGTAATTCTAAATTATCTCACATCTTTGCTAAAATTTTCACCAGAAAAGTTTAGTTCCGTTTTCGAAGCAAGTACGCTATTATATTAAAAAATATTATAAATCTTGGTTTATAACTAAAACAATTTAACATTTAAATAATGTATCTTATGTTTTGAAACGACCAATTTTCTCAAATATTTTGGCACATCGTTTAAATCACTTAGCGATTCCGAATTATTTTTACCCGTATGAAATTTGCTTGATAGTTTGTTGACAAGTAAATGTAATCATGCATAAAGAGTGTACTTTTATATGTTTAATTAAAAATCGAGAAAAAATACAGTTTGAGTAAATTCTACTATAAAGATTTGATTATGTCAATTCTGTGATAACGAAATAGTTCTCATAAAAGTCTTGCTAATATTTTAAGAAGAATATTGTTCTGCTATACTTAAAATGTTCTAATGAAATATTTTAACCAATATGTACGTATATGAGTTAAATTTTTTTTACGTTAAAGTTGTTTATGAAATATCGTAAGTACATAATCCCGGAAAAGTAGTTCAATTTTCAAACTCCTGGGTGCTAAATTTCAACGTTTTTAATCTTACATTTTCTGATAAAGACCAAATTATTTCTAATTATTAAGTGATCAAGCCATGGCCATTTTTGTTCGAAATGGTCTTTTTCTTGACGCAAAATTTGAATATCTACTTTTAGTCTTGCAGTTTTTGAGGTAATGAATATTTTTAAAATGGAATTGCGGCCATTGTAAGAGTGAACACAATGGAAACTTTATTTTATTGATTTATTTGCCCCATTTCCAAACTAATTGATGGAAAATTTAATGTATGCTTTGTATGCTTTACAGTTTTCAAGATTTTACTTAATTATTTTAAAAAATTATACAGTTCTTACTCGATTTGTTGCTTCGAATAGATTAGTACAGTTACCATTCCAAATAAAATTGAGTTATTGATACAACAGACAGACATGACAGAAATAAAATTGACTCAAAATTTGATGCTATTTAAAAACATGTACCTACAATACTGACACTTATTTTAAAACGTAAGCCTCAATTTACAATACCCTCCGAACATTCGTTCGTACAGGTATAGAGATGACATATAAGTATAACTCAATATTCTTTAATAATTTTCTTATTTGATCACATAATTTAAAATGTTTAACTTGCAATAATTACTAAAAAAATATTTATTACATGATAATTAGAATTTAAAGAATGAAATTATTTCAATAAATTTAAAAAAATTGACAAATATTCTAATTGTATTTAAAGTAGCTCTACTAGTCATTTTTCCATTTAATTTTCATTTCATACGCCTCTTATCACTTTCTTCACTTCTTTAATTTTCTTAATTTTTACTTTAAAAAATTTAATATTTTCTTACACACACAATTTCAAAAATTATAAAGTTTTGTGTGTGCTACACAAAAACAAAGCCTGTGCCTCTTAATATTCTATATGGGAATGCACAAGGATTATGTCTAATACATCTTTACATAATATTCTTTTGTGTTCTAGTCTTTCCTATATAAATGATAAGAAAAGACCTTCTTCAGATATAATAAAAAACAATAAAATTTTCTACCTTCTTATAGTCATTGTGATATTAGAAGAAGGCCTACATATCTTTGAATAATTGGTATATAGCCTTATGAATAATTTTATATAATTATATACATGAATGCACATATATACGATTGTGATCACGATTTATAATCCATTTTTAGTTTGTCTTCCGTTTTTACTTTCACTTGCCACTAAATGTAAAAAACAAAAAGTTCCCTAAAATACAATAGAATGGTCCTCTATTCTTTTCCTTTATTTATTCATTTCCTTTTACTCACTTGTAACTTAAATTTTGTATTTTCTATTGTTTCATTCAATTTTATGGTTACGTATAATAATTCTAACCACGGAATCAGGAGCGTCATAAGGAAATTTGTCTTTTCTGTATCCCTCTACTTTTACTTTCTTTGCTTTTACTTTCTTTTGTAGTTTTATTTATTTGCTTTTCTTTTGTTTTGTTAAAGGAGTGGAAAGTTCATCTAATGATATCGTTATCCTTATTTTGAATCCAAAATTTTTTTCCCAATTTTTATTTAGATTTTTTTTCTCTTCGTTTTCTTTTTTGATTCCCGAATTCGTTAACTTTCAAAATGGAAATATTAAAGTCTATATGAATTAAAGAAAATTCAGAAAATTAAAACGAGCAACAAAGTCAAAGTTAAGAACGTCACCTTAAGCTACATAATAATTATCAACGGAGGTAAAGTATTTTACATTTAAATTTAATCTAAATTTTACTTCTTATATTAGCAGAATTAGAGTTAAAATCAAAGTCTATTTTTAATTGCCGCTGATTCTAATGTAGGTATAAATTAGTAATCTGGTTATTCAAGTTACAGGATTGAAATCTCCTTCTCGTATGTTTAAAAATACAACTACGCTATGTGAGCTAAAACATTTTTTGTAATGCAAAAATTATTTCTTTACAACCACTTTCCAATAAAATTAGAAAAAATTCGTGCTTAATAACTTTACGTTGTCCGTCTCTCTGTCTATTTGTGCTTCATTGCATCTGCAATCTTTCAATCTTTCTATGGGCGCAATCATTTTTTTTTATTTACCCTTTTCCTATTTTCAATTTAGTCCCCTTTTCGACATGTTCAAATTTCCGACACATAGGAAAGTTTTTCTCTTAGATGATGAGTCTCTTACAAATTCAATATTTTATTAGTGTGTAGAAATTCGAAAATGATTAATTTTGTTGGAACAAAATTTTGCACAATTTCTCTTTTCAATCGTGTCTTCAAATTAAAAAATTTTAAATTTTCTTTTACAAATTTCTATGAAAAATGCAGAATTTTCCCAATTTCTACAGATTTTTGATAAAATCTTAACTCATCTATGTAGTTGCTGAATTCGATTTGCTTTTGAAAAGTATACATAATTTATGTATTGCATTAATATAATTTTAGTATACACTAGCTAATGAGAGAAGATTATTTTGCAAAAAAAGTAACTACTTGCTCAATGGGAATTTATTATTTGAATTTATTATAAGAGCCACCTCTGCTGATCTGAACTTATTCAATGTGATTATATATATCTTGAAAAATTTTGGCAAGTATGTATTTAAAAAATATACATTTAATATTGGTAAAAAATATAAATTTAAAAGAGTGAATTTATCTTGTAAATTTTGTAATTTACATAATGTAAAAAATTGCATACCATAAGGGGAGAATCAAAAAATATTTTGAGTAATACAAAATATTACAATGTGGAGAGAAATTAAAATGTGAACTCAAAACAACCAGTATGGTCTATATTTTTAGATACCGAGAAAGTGTTGTATGAAGCAGGTAGTAAAAATTCGAAAACTGTTCTAGCCACACATCCAGAATTGAAAATTATGAACTAGCCACACATCCAGAATTGAACATTGTGAGTTTTCGTTTATTTAGTTCTAGAATAGTTCTAGCTTGTAGTACGTTCGAAAGCTCACGCTGCATACCCTGAAAATATAGATCGTTCGGAAATTACTGGCTGCAATAAAGTGCGTTGGGAAATTCAATCTGCAAGAAAGAAATTTTAGAAATGTAGCGCAGACCTCTTGTATAAATTTTGTCGCTGCCTCATGATTTTTTTTTTTAAATTTAAAAATCAATAAAAATTTAAATTTCAAAGTGGCAGATTCAGATATTGAAGTTTTCTTTAAGTCTTCAAATCTTGTTAAAATTTCCTTACTTTGCAATAAATTGGAAGGTGAAAAATTTTGGGATACAATTTTATAAACAATGTCATTTCTGTTATTTTCGAACGACAGATTATTTAAAAGTTTCAGAATTTGTAGACTGCGTA